TAAAAGTCATATTATTTTATGGTAATTAAAGTGGAATTTAATAAAAATTAGTAAGAAGTTTGATATTATTAAGTATTATTATATGGAGAATTAATCTATTAAGGAATTATATGTATCGTGCTTGTCATGAAATTAGAAAGGGTATTAGTTTAATTTAATTGGGTTTCAAGTTTCTCAATGAAGTTTTTTTAAGAGTCCCATTTGGTATTTATTAGAGATTTAAGAAAGATTTTGAAAGGCTCATTTGGTATTTGTTGAAGATTTTAACAGTTTTTATAATATAGTATATTGGACTTGAACAAGCTGTAGAATTAATTTGGAATTAAAGTGCCCCATCAATTGTTGAAGTATAGAGACAGAAGTTATTTTTTTATTTTATTTTTATTTTTTGCTGAATCAATTTGTGGAGTTAAATTGAGGTCTTGATAATTAAAATTAAAATTATATTTATAATTATTTATCGAAGATTTTAAAAGGGCCATTGTGTATTTATTTGAGATTTTAGAGGGTTTTAACATGACATTGGGTATTTATTCAAGATTTATTGAAGATTTTAATAATTTTTATAATATGGTAAGATAATAAGATATAATTAAAGTAGTTAAAGTCAAATTGAAGTAGAATTGTATTAAAAGGAAAGACTATTGTTGAATATAAAATATTGAAGATGCTTATGGAAAGATTACTATTGAAAATATTACTGAGTTTAGATTTTTAAAGACCTATTGGGTATTTATTTGATATTTATTGAAAATTTTAAAAGGTCCATTAGTATTTATATGGTATTTATTAAAAATTTTAAAGGATTCATTTTGTTTATTTGGGATTTATTGAAAAATTTAACAATTTTTATACATTAATATATTAAGAAAGATTATATTGGTTTGTTAGGGAAAATGATCAAACATTGAACTGAAGCAACCGTGAACACCCCTAATTAGAAATCCCAAATGGTAAAACAACACTTTTTAATGGGAATGATTATTTCCATAAATCAAATTGTTAAAACCACCAAATTTGGGACTTAAATTCCATATTTAATTAGGTGAACAAGCCTGTAAGTTCAAAGTGCAAGGGTTTTCACACTCCCAAAAAATGAGAGTTTCTGCTTCCTGAATGGGAGTCGCTGCTGGGTGTTCCCAGTCTCCGTTAGTCTTCTACCTTCAATTGTTTTTCTTCTCCTTCATTGTATATACCATCACCTCTTTCGTTGCCTTACATAACATGTTTCTTCGTTTACCCTTTTGGTATCAAAACCCCAAAAATAGTTTGTGTTGTTCCTTTTTCAACCTTCATCATAATCCCTAGAATTCAAATCTCATGCTTTGAACCGCTGATTATAGCAGTTTGCAGTGGGATTTGGCTTCTAAATCAAATCGGAGATCATCTCAGACCCTTTCCCCAAAAGAGTATCTTCATCCTAAAGACTTTGATTGGGGTCAATTGACATTTGATTGAAGTTATTTGAAGCTTCACTTCAAGTCCATAATCCTCCCAACTCATATTGGCCTATCAGAAAAGCATAAATCTCGGAGTTAGCCTAGGTTTCCTTCCCTTGGAAATTTGGGCAACTGAAAAACCTGGATTGTGTAAAGGCATACTGACAACCTGGATTCATTCCTTGGTGTTCCAGGTTCTCTTTCCTTGTTTCTGCAGATGTTTATGTGTTTTCAATTTCATAGAGAGAAATCATTTCTGAAGAGTTCATTATCAATTAACCATGGGTTAGTAGCAATCAGCATATTATTTCATGAGTCCGGGTTAATTTCCTTGAGTTATGCTGTTAGAATTGTGAGTATTTTGTCTAAGATGCTGTTGGGAATATTTCTATTCATTGAGAAAATGTGTTTTTGTGATTTTGGACATAGTTTCT